AACAAACAAAAATACAGGGCCATGGGTTTAGCTCAGTGGTTCTGCTGCCTGCCTCGCAAGTGCAAGGACCCAAGTTCAATCCCTGGTACCAAAAAAATAAATAAATAAATAAAAAAGGTGAAAATTATTAGAACTCAGCTAAATGTGATACAATGTCAGAAACAGAACAATGTAGCAGTTAATTTTTTTAGTAGACATATGTATATTTAATAGCCATATTTTATATGACTACAAACATATTTTCAAATAATTTTTCAATCTATGCTTTAGGTTAGCTATAATTTTAGCAATGCGGCCAAATCAGAAAATTCTCAAATGGTCTAAACACTTTGAACACTAAACCTAGAACCAATAATTTAATCATTTCATTTACAAGAAGAAAAAAAGTCCTTGAAGGAATGACTAAGAAAGTTTGCTTGGAAATATCTATAGCAGTTAAGTTTATCACAGTCATACAAAATCCCGGTATATCCCACAGTTAAACAAAAGTCAGCAGCAGAAAGAAATTTTGGAGAGATGTCCTACTTTAAAATATTAATGCTCTTACGTAACAGTTTGCATATTCAGAGACATTTGGCAAAAAAAAAATAGATACTAATTATGACTGAAACATGTTATTATTAACATTATGAAAATGTTTCATTCTTTAGCATTATTCACCCTAGTTCCCTTCTCATGTCTTTTATTTTCCTTATATTCAAATATCTAGTGTATATAAGAAAGCCCCTAATCACAAATTGCAGGTCTCCCTATTAACCATAAAACAGTTCACACTATGAGTATGTGTGCCCTATCCTGATGTTTCTTCAAAGGTATAACAATCACATATTCATATATATGACAGATGGCAGTCTTCCCTGGCTTATTCCCTTTAAAAACTGACTACTATATTTGTATACATCCTTTGCCCCAAATTATTTATCTATGAACAAAAGCAATGAAATCTATATTCCAGAAATACCTGAAAATTGCCCTATTCTATCTCATCTCATTATAACCTGCATTGTTCTTTTCTCAGGATTTCTCTTACAAGGCAGTATTTGATTACGAAAGAGAACAAAGATAGTTTTATTTATAACAAAGCAAGGTTTAAAACTAATGCCAATTTTAAGGCAATCTCCTTAATATAATTTTTATAATTTATAATGCTACTATTAATTATTCATTTGAAATTAAATTCTCAAATCAATATTTTTAAACGATTCTAATGGCTTTTAAACAAAATTTAGTTTATCACTTGAGTATTTTCTATCAATTCCATCCCTGTACTTTTATTATTATACACTGCCACATTTACAAGTACTTTAATTTTTAAAAACTACCCAGATAAAGTATCTAATCTTTACAATGACATTTTAAATTCTGAAGAGTACTCTGTTTACTCACAGATAAATGATGTATTATTTGAAATCCAAAGGCTCCCTCTCAAAGAAGTAAATCAGTTGTCCTATCCTTCCCTCATTTAAAATAAGGTTGCTGTTTCTGGCTGTGCAAAAGGCTAAGAAGTTGTCTCCAGTCATGTGTGTATTAATCAAAATACTGGCAAGGAGACACATACAATTTTAAGGGAGTACTTCTGTTGCACTTTGATGTGTTAGCAGATTATGAACAGAAAAAAAGGTAAAAAGCTATTACCATTCATTTAAAATGAAAACTTACAAACTATATCTAAAAGCTGGGACTATGATTGACAATAATCTACAACTTGTGCTAGTTTTTTACATTTCCTATAATTAACAGGCATGTATACTGAGTATATTAACATTAAATCACTTATTTCTTAAAATATTAAATCTTCCATCCAAGAAAAGAATTACAAATACTTAGTAATGTATCTCAAATTACTTTAAAATATGTAAAACAGCCTTAAGTTCAAAGACCAAACCAAAGTATTTATGAGAACCACAAGGGATTAGAAAGTATAAGAAAATACAGCAGTCCCTTAAGAAAAGCAGAGTCTGGGGATATCACTCAGTGGTACAGCACTTGCCTAGTTAGTATGTGTGAAGCCCTGGGTTTCTATTCCCAGGAAAGAAAATAAAGGAAAGAAATGAAAATAAAGGAAGAAAAGGAAAAAAAAAAAAAAAAAAGCAAACAGCAACAGCAGCAGGGTGCTCCTGAGTGTCAGGAGGCTAAGGAGAGGACCACCTGAACTCAGTAGCTGGAGCCCAGCATAGTCAACATAGCAAGAACTCATCCCAAAAATTTAAAAAGGAAGAGAAAGAAACAGGAAAAAGAAAAAAAAAAAAATTACAGAAACAATCTTTTTTGTGCTTAGGGCCCCAAAATGACTAAAGCATTTCACCAAATGATTCTGGCTTAAGCTGTATGTTTCTTTGTTGTGATTATAAGATTATCTAAACATTTATGCCTGCTTTTAAGTAATGCAAATGGGCAAATAAAGTCAATCTTAAAGAAATTTAAAAACAGAAGACCTGATTCAAGTTGGATATATTATAACATAAACCTTCTCCAATAAAGAATATTTACAGAATATTTTACGGAGGGAGGGAAAAAGAAAGGAGTAGTAGGAATTCAAAGCTAGTAAGAGCCAACTGGGTGTGGAGTGTTTTTACTCTAATAAGATCTTTAAGAAAAAAGAACATAAAATTCCTTCATATATGTGACCTTAAAGTGTTATCTACTGCATAAAACACATCATAAAATGAAGATGATTCTACAGCATTTGAATTAGATGTACATTTCTGTATGTTCTCAGTATGTATCACTAGATAAAAAAATCTTCATATAAATGTACTAAAGAATATGTATGTGATCTTTTGCATGCACATTTGAAGTGTGGGTCCTGAATAAATGTATAAAAAGGAAAAGAAGCAGATGATATGATACGGTACAGTAGAAACTGCTCCAGACTTGGAATAAAGAGACTTTGTGAGAAACAAATGTACCATATATATAGTGTCTTGGGAAAATTAGAAAAAACCTCCTCACATCCAGCCTCAGTGAAGTGCAAGGCTGGATGTGAGTCTCCATTCAAACCCTCCGCTTTGTGCATATGTTTGTATGTATATGTATCAAATCCAGATCTGGCCAATTCAAACATGGCCCTACATAGCATTTACTAGCTTGGTGTTTTAAGCAAATGATTTAAGTGAGGTTCAACTTCTTTATCTCCCAAATGGATATTATAGTCCTAATTCATAGGATTATTATAAGTATTACTACAGAGACTAGTATTTGCTAAAGCACCCAGTACAGGGCTCAATAGATACTTAAATGAATAGCCAAATGATAACAATGACAACAAAAACTCTCAGCAAAAAGCGGAAATATCTCTTTTTTCACATCCAAAAAAAAGTAAATCACTTTGAAATAAAACATTTCACTTGAGTTAGTCTAGTTTTAAAGGTAGCATAATATATAAAGCAGCATCTCAAACTGACTTCTATATTCTTCAACACTTGTTCAGGGAGCACTACTAGTATGTGCCAGAAAGGCAGGCTGAAAAATTCAACGCTCAAATATTCTAAGTTTGGTTATATGCATTTGACATCAATCAATCTCATTAGATCCATAATGCCTATTAACATTATAAAGGATCAAAGAAGTCCTGTAGTGAGGAGGTATTTAATTTATTTACCACTGAAGTTATCAGGTCACAGCTCTCTTTCATATATAAATATACTTACAGGACTAGTTTAAATTTTTTTTCAGAGAACAGTTTGGATAGTGTATGGATTTTGAGCCATATTCTGTGTATGATTCCATATGAACAGCACCTGTTTATGTTACTGACAGTTATTAAAGATATAAAATAGATTTTAAGTTGTAGTTAATTTCACTACTTTACAAACTTTAGAGAAATTCAAATCTGAAAACTGCTTTTCAATATGTTGACATAAAAATCTGAGGCTGATATGAAGAATGAATCAAAACTTTAAATGTTAAGCCACATCCATAACTTTTTATACCTAAAAACATGTTGTAACATTTAAGTTATGCATCTTTGTTCTTTGTGGCTAAAGAATGATGGGTATAAGGCCTGTATAAGAAAAAAACCCAAATTACTATTATTTACATTCTTAAGCCTCTATTTCTTTCTCATACAGATATTAAAGCATACATAAAGCAGGAACATTTTATTATTCTGCTCTTTTTACTTACCTAATATTTTCACAGCATAATGTGGACTTTCTAAGACAATTCCTTCTTCTGTGTCAAATATGGGGTTATCTATTCCAGTCTTTGGGGGAATTTGGGCTAGTTTCTTAAGTCTCATGGAGGAATTAAGGTCAAGTTCTTGCTTTTTCCCTTCTTCTTCTCGCCTGCGTCTCATGTCCTCCTGTTGCTGTCGAATGCGCTCCAACTGTGCACTTCGTCGTACTGGCATCAGCCTGGTGCCCAAATCTCCTGGGCAGTCAACAGCCATCTCTCGGTGCTTCCGAGGTTCCTCTGGTGATGCAAGATCAACATTTTTTACTTCGCTGTCTGATTCCTCTGTAACATGCCCATTCATATAGGATGTTGTCATGGTTATCTATAAAAACCTGTACCACTTTTTATAAATCAATTTTTCGTATAATGCCAATTTTCTTGATTCTGTAGTATAAAATCCATGTTTACTTCAAAAAAAAAAAACCTTCTCACATCACATAATAATGCTATGAAAAATATCCATGAGGAAAATCTAAGGGGAAAGACGGGGGGAAAAAGTATAAGAATTACAACATAAAAGCAGACTTTACATAGCGCATTTCCAGTCTCCATACAATACAGAAAATATCTAATAAATATACAATAATATTTTTCTATGTAGATTAAACTCTTTTCATTTTATAGATAACCCTAAGGGAATCAAGATGTTTCCAAAAAAAGCTACCTCCCAAGAATTTGAAACATAATATTCAATTTTATAGCTAGGAAAAATAATACACGGGAAAGTTTAGCAAAGTGGAAAATAAAAAGTTTTGGCTGCTAATTTTGTAAAGAGTAAGTTACTTAAAGCTTAAATGGTGTTTAAATTTCTTTTTTTTTAAGTTTTTTTTTGGTACCAGGGATTGAACTCGGGTCCTTGTGCTTGAGCAGCAGGTGGTGAAACCACTTAGCTAAATCCCCAGCCCTTTAAATTATCTTTTTAAAGTTGCCTCAACACAATACTTCACGTTCAACTAATATACATGGGATTAACAAATTAACTGCTAAAAAGTAATTAATGAATTTGACATATAGTGAGCCAGGTTGGTAGCTCACTCAAAACATAGGTAGTAAGTCTGCGAAAATTAACTCATGGGGAGGGGTCTGAGAGAAAGAAGATACCTACAGAAGAAACAAATTAGCAGCAAAGGCATCTATATTGAGTGAGAAAAGGGCCAAGTAAGTTATCAGTCTTTAAACTTTATTACATTTATTTTAAAATTATGGTAATTTTTATAAGGATTCATTTAGAGAAAATGGTAGTGTCTAATACCACTCAAAAATTTTAAAAAATCCTACTACATAACAAAAATAACACTGGACCTAGAGTCTAGAAAATTGAATTTTCATTTTGACTGTGCCACTTTCCCTACAGCAGTAGTGGCAAACCTATGGCACGTACACTGCAGTGGGCTGTTTGTATTACTGAAAGATCTGAAAGGTTTACCGTCACTGGCCTAGAGCTTCATGATTTAAGACCAGTTTCTCCCTCTGAACTTCAGATACATTTACAAAATTTATTCATAGGATTATTTTGAATTATAAATATGATAAGGTAAATAAGTTATAAAATGAAAAGATAATCTGATTCTATTTTTAAAATCTTCCATCATATTTGGGACAAAAATATTTTATTGAAATACTGGCTTTTCATCAAGCCATTTCTCAAGCATAAATAAGCAATTGTTTATATGTGCATAAACTCACACATTAAATCTAATCAACCTCCTTAATTCAAGGCTTTAAAAATATTTACAGTAATACACCTACTACCTCCTTGAATTGAGCATCACTTCAGTAAATAAGCTGCTCTAGCACAATGCTAACTAAGCAAAAACCAGCTTTTTAGACAATATTCCTAACACCAGTCAATCTTCTTTCACATGTCAGGCTATAGTAAAATAGGGACAGAAGACAAAGTATTTAATTTACAAACCTAGGCTACCAGGAAAAACAACAAAGGCCAACAATCAGGAAAACACTAAAATTACATTTTCACAACAATTTGGGTAGATTATTATCTTTCATCCAAATTTTAGCTTCTTTATTAACAACTATGTAACACTCCCTTATTTATCATTAACTTTCTCCTTCACTAAAATGAGAGCCATTCTAGATTGATTGTAAGCTTTAGATGTTGATTATACACAAATGCAAATTCAGCTGATTTAATGTTTTCACTACAAGTAAGCAAAAATTTGTGTAGGAGTTATTGTGTAGGAGTTATTAAGAATAGTTTAGCTATTCTTAACTTCAATTTTAAAAATCTAGGAGTGTACATATTTTCAGAAAATTAACTCTCAACCTTTACAATTACCGGATACCAAAAATCAAAGAATAATAGATTATGTATTTTTTATATAAATCAGAATCTGAAATTAAGATTCAGCTTAAAAACACTAAAAAGTGTATATATACCCACTAAACTAAATCATGAGGGAAAATTATAGATCATGCAACAGAAGCTGGCTCAGGTGATCTTGGTCATAATTCTCATAGTTGGTCACAGCTTGATTTCCAGGACTTGGGGAAAAACAAAAAAAAACACAAAATCTCTCCCAGAATTCTCATGGTTGGACTATTATCACCATGCTTGTCTATCTGGATCTAGTCTTTTACTTTCAGAAAAATTTCTTCAGTCTGATATTAATCCACTAAAAATTCATTTTTATTACCTCCCCTGGAAAGTTCACAGTCTACCAAGAGACAGTAAAGAAAATAAATGTTGGGTTGGGGATTTAGCTCAGTGGCATCGTGCCTGGCTCACAAGTGCAAGGTCCTGCGTTTGATCCCTGGTACCAAAAAAAGAAAAGAAAAGAAATGTTGGTCTCTCCTCACTACCACATATTCCAAATTTGTTAGGTTCATAACTTTATATCTATATACCCCCAGTGCTTAGCATAATACATGTCATACAGGAAATGCCGAAGAAATATTTGCTCAACTAAACTTGGAATGTCACAAATTCACAAAGGATGAACAAATCTAAAATTTAGTCTGAGGGGCTGGGGATTTAGCTCAATGGTTCCACTGCCTGCCTAGCAAGCGGAAGGACCCGAGTTTGATCCCCGGTACCAAAAAACAAAACAAAATAAAATTTAGTCTGTGGTAAAGAGAGGAGGGCCGGGGATTTAGCTCAGTGGTTTCACCGCCTGCTACACAAACACAAGGACCTGAGTTTGATCCCCGGTACCAAAAAAAAAAAAAAAAAAAGAGTTGAGAGGAAACATTTCTTTGCCCTGCATCTCAAAAGGTAACTAAATATTAGTCACACAGAAGAGCCTGTTCCCAGACTGATGAAATTACATGACCATTAAGGAAGGAACAGTGTGAGAAAATGGCACTTTTAGAAAACAGCAGAATGCAGTAAGCAGGACAGAACAAAGGGAAGGATGTCGTACATGAGTAATGATAAAACTGGAAAGGACGACAAGCAGAGGTGAGACTGACAAGAATTTTAAGAGCTAAAGATCTGTACCCTGAAACTTAAGAATCATTCAAGGATTTAAAGCAAGGGATGGATGATATAATCACATTTGTTTTTATAGAAATAGCACTCCTAGAGAAGTACACAGGATTGATTGAAGTGTGGCAATGAGACCAGTTTGAAAGCACCTGTAACATGGGATTCTGAACTAAAACAGAATGAAGAAAAGTTGTAAGTAGTTTATAGAAACAGTGGAACTTGGTGTCTATACAGGAGGGCAAAAATAGAAGGGAAAAGGAAGCAAAGGAGATGAAGGGACAGAAGTAATAACTCTACCTAGAGCTAACATTTACTGAGTACTTCATCATGACAAGATCAAAAAGTATAGTGAATGTTTAACATTTTTAAAAAAATTTATTACAGTAAAAGACAGATTAATCCCACTCAAAATACTCCCTCTCACTTCAAATACCGTCATGCCATCACTTTTGCCACATTCTGAAGCAATTCTGGAAGTCCTCTTTCATGTCTTTCGTTGTGCTTTTGTACTTGCCTTGATGTCCTGAATAGATTCAAAAGATTTACCTTTCACGGTCATTTTGACTTTAGGGAAGTGACTCTGGTGAATATGGTGGGTGAGGACACACCATAAGGTTCTTATAAACCTGCTTACCTTGGATGGTACATGGCAGTGGCATTCACTGTATTTTTCATCACACTTCATAAAGATAATCACGAAAGAGGACTTCTAGAACTGCTTCAAAATGTAGAATGATGAAATAAGTGTTTGAAGAAAAGGAAAGTATTGTGAGGGAGAGATTAATGGTAATGTGTCTTTTTGGGGGGGGGGGGTAACCAGGGATTAAACTTGGGACTTTGCGCTTGCGAGGTAGGCAGTGGAACCACTGAGCTAAATCCCAGGCCCGGTAATGTGTCTTTTATGATAATGCTACTTGCCCATTAGTCACTAGTACGTACACACAAGAAAGCTATATATATATAGATAGATATATCACACACATATA